TAAGGAGTACTGGACGGCTGTTTCGTCCCGCTAGTTTGGGACTTTTCGGCAGTCCGCACTCACCACCCGGCTTCGACCCCAGAGCCTTCCGGTTTTAACTCAAGCTCGTAGACCATTCAACCACTGTGATGCAGCTTAGTAGCCGGCCCATTTCTACCAATTCGTGATTTTAGAGCAACTGGCACTAACGAGAATTTGTCCTTAATGCCGATCGGGTGGACTCCAGCGGTCACTACTGCTTACTAGAACTTCAGGCAACTTTATCTTGTAGCCAGTCACTGCGTTTTCCATGGTTCCTTAACTGCTATCAATCTGTGATCAAACTTGAAACGCATCAAATTCCTACAAACTAACTCTTGAAAGCTTTCTACTGTTGCTGTTATTGTTGTTGTTGATTTTTAATGTGCATGATGTGTTAGTGTTTTATTAGCGAAAGCTACTCATTGCACAAGTGAATGACTGAAAAGATGTTCCTAGAAGATAAGGGAGAAGTCCAATCTGTACAATAATCAATAACCTTTATGTACAAATGAGTATTCAACCAATCAGTCGACTGAGTTTTTAAACAGGACTACAAACTTGTGTTGTCTTGTTTTCCACTGTGGTTACAGTCTCACTGAGACATAGAGTTTATTGCTAAATGGTTCCCTTAGAAATACTTTTCTGATCATATATATTTATGCATCATAATACCTTCATATTAAGATGAATCACGTAATTGATATAAACAAACAAAAGATAATTGAAATAAAGACCGATAGATGATATGCGTGACATCCTTGTTTGTTGCTATTGGGAACCGCGTAACATTATCACCATTGTTATTTGTTATTGTTTTCGGTTTAGCAACAGAATTCCTTTCTCTTTCCTTAAAAGAAAAAGTATGACTGAAATTTTAAAAAAATTACATTTACAAGCAAGACAAAATAATAAGAGAAACAAGAATGTTTTGATAAAAATATATATTCATCCCTTCTATTCCAGGTGACCTCAATGTAAATGGTGTGTTTTCCTCCGTTATTCCTCCATTTTCGTTTTCCTTTTCCTTTTTGTCTTATAACATTACTTTGAGCTGAACATACAGAGGGGGAGGGGGAAGCGGTGGCAGTGTTTAAATATTACACTGATACTCTCCTTCTTCTTTTCTACTCGTTTTATTTTGTCCTGTCAGTAGACCCCACCTGTGACCTAAAAGTGTTAGCTTAGCAACGAGCATCACCCATAACAACAACGTGATTGTTGTCTTAACTTCATGACCTATTACTGTCGCTTTCCTATTCTGTCTGCATTTTGTCCAATGACTTGTCTGTATGACTAGTTCGTTAGTTAGTTATTTTGGTTGGCTGGGATTTTTTAGGCGGATTTATTTCAAATATGTGTTGTGTACAACACATGATGGATGAATGATACTACTGACCTCTATTGTTAATATAATGTAGAGGCATAAATTAGATTGTTTTTTCATAGTGTCGTGCATGTATTATGTACATGTATGCACTTTGTGTTACACTCATTAGTTCCACACATATACCTGTATGTATGTATGCGTGTGTGTGTTATATATCTCTAGTTTTGTTATTATATACCCTTAATTCCGCGTAAATATGAAGATCTAATACTAAGCATATCAGTTGATATTGTCTTTTTCAAATTATTACTATTATTGTTTTTCCTTATGGTTCCGAGTAGAAAATAGGGCTTCAAAAGCACATCTTCAATCTGTCCTAATCTCTGCGGTCCTCTTTAACTGACTCCACGACTGCCCATAGTCTCGCATCTCCTCCCCACGCTGTCGCCTCCATTTCACCCTCGAACACACGCCTAACTTGTCGTTTCCCATTCAAGTTACACATCAGCTATGGCCTGACAGGTGATATCACTTGTCAGTCTCCGAAGTGTATGTCCGATTTATGTCCATTTTCTTCTACAGATTTGTTGACCAATAGGTTTTTGGTTTTTTCGTTCCTAGAGTTTCTTGATATTAATTCTTTATGACCGGCCATTTGATCTTCAATATGGAGCCAGCAAAGATAACTGTCGATAACTGTCTTCAGCCGGCTGTTGGAAATGCTTTCCACGATGTGCTAGCCATGTTTCTGACCTATATATAAGCAGAAACTGGCTGACATAGTTGGGAGGCTAGTTTAATGGTAGAAAGACAGAAATTCTCCCATTGGTTTCCACTACTTAGTCTCCATCAACTAAGTAGTATCAGTTGCCTCAATTTACAAATCAGCCAATAATGACACAGGCATTAGTTCTCATAATTTATCCATTGAAACAGTGATATACTTGTAGACTAATATTTCATTCTATTTCCTTTTATTCGAGTCTGAATGTGGCTTCTGACTTCTTCCTGTGTATAAACCATTTAGACTGTGGTACCACAAATCTTCTTACTGCTAACTTACTATTTACTTCATAACTGTATGAAATCTTTTTATACTGTTACTAAATACTTTATAATTAGTAGGATAATCGTCATATTATTGAATCTACTGTTAAATATCCTATCATAATAATACGCTGAGGTATTGTTATGTTTTGCGATACGCTGAGACTGAAATAGGGACGCCGAGTTGGACACAGACGTGCTGATCACGAATACTGCTTGACCACACTAACAGCATTATCCAACAGCCCACACTACTTAAACGAGAACACACAACGCCGTGAGCCAAGAATGTCTGTGACTACGTGGTTTCACAACTGCGACGCAAATCTTTTGTTGGAATCCCAAGTAAACTTTGGAACCTGCTATTCGCTCGCCTTAAAAATAAATGATATTAATAATATTACATACTGAAAGGAGTTGATCTATAGGAAGTCTTTAATCATGGCCCCGTAGATTTGTCCTGGAAGTAATTTGGAAACTACTTCAACACCACGGCGAGCAGTGCCCAAGTCTTCACCAACCTCATTCAATAGCTGGCTATATGACAATACCACGTGCCAGGTGATACACAACGGAAAACTCAGGCGTTGGAAGTGCATACAGGAGTAAGACAGAGCTGTCTACTATCACTCACGATGATATTCCTGATTGTAGTGGACTGGATTATACGTCAGACTGTAAGTGGGAAGTGAGAAGACAGGAATACTTTGGACCGATAAGAAGACTCTAGAAGATCTGAATTTCGCGTGTAGATTGTTTATGTTTAATGTCACACAAACGCGAAGATTTACAGGAGAAAACCAACAAACTGGTAGAAGAGGCAGTCAGGCAGCGAAGATAGGACTTTAGGTGAACACTGAGAAGACGGAGGTGATGAAAATAACCAATGAACAGCAACAAGTACAAGCAGGACCAATCACAATCAACGGGAGAGATTCGACAGAGGTCACTTCCTTCACTTATCTGGGAAGCACGGTTCCCACCTCAGACAGTCGGAACGGATGAAGATTTCAAAGCCAGGAAAATTCGGAAGGGCAAGATACGCCTTCATCAACCTGAAACCAGTTGGAAATCTTTTACATTCAGACAGCATAAAGAACAAGATTCAGATTTTCAACACAAATATGAAGTCCGTCAGTTACTTCGTCTACGTGGGTCAGAAACTTGCACTGTGTCAGTCATGAAAATGATTTCCAACAAGTTACTGCAGATTTTTATCAACAGCTGACTTCGCTGGCTCCATAATGAAGATCAAATAACTGGCAATAAACCAACCAAGAGCCGATTGCTCAACAAATATATAGGAGAAAATGGAGATGGATATGGCATACATTGAGGAGGCCATCGAATGACATCGCGCACAATGCAGGTCATCAGTCGAGTGGAATCCCAATGGGAGGCGATGAATGGGTCGTCCTAAGGTGACATGGAGGCGATCGTGTGGTGAGAGGGAGGCGGGAGATTATGGGCTCAGCTGAAGATGGTGGCAGAAAATAGAACAAAGTGCAGATGTGTTGTTGAAGCCCTATGTTCCACTCGGAACCCAAGGGAATGACAATAATAATTATAATTAATGTTCTATTCCAATTAGTGAATTTATGACTAGGCTGTTTAGATTACACCTGACACAATATCATAGAGACAACCTATGCTTATGAATTTCTGTCTATCTATCCACAAAAACACACTGTGACATCCTCGATTAAATTAAAGCTAACGAGGAAGTGTGTATGTGTGTACGTGTGTGTGTTATGTCACACTTATATCAGTGATCATATTTCTCAGCTGACCAGCAGATCATGATCGACACATTTAGGTGTAGTGACTTGGTTACATTTGATCACTATTTTTTCCTGACTAATGAAAATGTACTTTGGATAGTAAAAGTTGTTAAGATTAAATTTATTCTTTACTTATTTATTACTCTGATTAATGATTAGGAAAAAAGTACACAGTTCTCTTCTTTTCAGCTGTTTAAACAGAAAAAGGAATTATCTAGTGGTTTCACAGACTAACTCACTCATTCATCCATCGTCTGCAAGGTTTTGTTTGTTCTACCAAATAGGAAAAAACAAAGCTGTAATAGAGATACTACTAACTAATAAGATATCATTTATGTTTCCCTATGGGATGAAATGTGATCATTCGCATTAGATGACGATGATAATGTTGATCTTGCCTAGTTGTCGCCTCGTATGTTTTCTCTGCCTACCTCTCTCCGTCTCCCTCTGACACACACACACGCCTATACACTCTGACACTACCATTGACTTCACATCTCTCCTACCACCATTTCTTCATCGTCTTCTTCCCATGCGTACCATTTTGCTTTTGTTTGGTTGTTATTTTTTGGTATCTCACCAAAATGATATCAGTGCGATTCGCGTGTATACTAACCAATCTTTTTTTCTGACTATCAGCATTGTTATATATATACATATATTGAATGTTTTCTTTGTATGCTTTTCTATTGTTTTTTTCCTCCTTATGCATTGAAATCTCGTGTTGGTGTTAAAAAACTATAATAATAATGATAATAATACAACTCCTGTCCTCTGCAAACACTGACACACACCATACAATACAACACAATACAACAAACCAGTGTGAATACAATCTTGTGGTCAGTCTGATCACTCAAGGCAACAGAATGATCTATATGAATGGCTTTCCAATGCATAAATCACGTTTAAATAAAGTGTAAGTTTAACGAAAAGTGGTAGGGAGAGAGAGACAATAAGTAAGAATTTATAGAATCCAGTATAAATGAATACGCCATTATATTTGTTTGTTTAATTATTTTGTAACAGTAGAAGGCAAGACACGGAAGCTAAAGGTATATTTTTCATTGATCAAACCGCTGTTTATATATCTACAGTTTATATATTCGTTAAGCAATCACTGAGCGTGTGATTTCGGTTTACATCATCAGACATGAAATAGAATGTTCAAATATACATATATAATATTCTGTTGATAATGCAGTATTGAACTGTGGGAATAACATTCCGACTCTAACATCAAACAGAATGTTCAAATAGATATATCGTATTCTGTTGCTAATGCCGATTGAACTGTGGGAATATGTGAGAATAATATTCCGTTGGCACACACACATTGTCTGTACCACACCACCAAAATTTATCTATTCTCATATTTCTGCAATATTTCTTTAATTGAATGATCTGTTGTTTGTTTGTATGTGTGTGGGGCTTGTTCCGCCCTCTTCCTTTCTGTAGTAGACTATTTGTCTCATAATAATTGCGTGAATATATCACGATGTATCGTGACCACTAGTCAGTGTCATCCGTAGCGAGTATTTGTCCTCGCACCCGACCTGCCTAGTTACCTAGTGAAACTACCAAAGAAGGGCGACCTAGGACTCTGCAGAAAGTGGCGAGGAATCATGCTCCTGTCGACGCCAAGTAAAATCCTTGGTCGCATCATCCTGGAGAGAATAAAGGACGCTCTGGATACAGAACTCCGCCAACCAGAACAAGCTGGATTCAGGAAAGGCAAATGATGTTCTGACCAAATCGCTACTCTACGCATCATCATCGAACAAAGTATGGAATGGCAATCAAACCTCTACCTCAACTTTATAGACTTTGAGAAGGCCTTCGACAGCGTTGACCGCGAAGTAATTTGCAAACTACTCGAGTACTACGGCCTACCCCAAATATTCATCAACCTTATACAACAGCTGTACGACAACGGCACATGTCAAGTGATCCACAAGGGAAAACTCAGCGAAGCGTTTTTAGTAAACACAGGAGTCAGACAAGGGTGCTTATTATCACCAATGATATTCGTAATTGTGTTGGACTGGATTATGCGTCAGACAGTGGGAAACGAGGAGACAGGGATATCCTGGACCGACGTGAAGAACCTAGAAGACCTGGATTTTGGGCGTGGATGATTTATGTTTGATGTCACACAAAATCGAAGACTTACAAGTGAAAACCGACAAACTGGTTGAAGAAGCAGCAAAGACAGGACTCCTGGTGAACATAGACAAGACGGAGGTTATGAAAATAACCAACCAACAACGACAGCAACAGCAACATCCAGAGCCAATCACCATCAACGGGAGGGATTTGAAAGAGGTTACTTCATTCACTTATCTATAGGGAGCATTGTCTCAACCACAGGAGGAACGGACGAGGATGTCAAATCGAGAATCGGGAAGGCGAGAAACACATTCATCAACCTGAAACCAATCTGGAAATCTTCGTCACTCACCATTAACAACAAAATTCGGATTTTCAATACAAACGTGAAGTCAATTTTGCTTTACGGATCAGAAACTTGGCGGGTCACCAAGAATATTTCCAATAGCCTGTTGCAGACCTTTATCAACAACTGTCTTCGCTGGCCTATACTGAAGATCAGATGGCCGGAAAGAATCACAAACAAGAAGCTATGGGAACAAACGAAACAGGAACCAATCGCCCAACAAATATGCAGGAGGAAGTGGAGATGGATTGGACACTCGCTGAGGAGGCCGTTGAGTGACATCGCGCGTCAGGCCCTCGAGTGGAAGCCGAAAGGGAAGCGGCGAGTGGGACGTCCAAGGGTGACATGGAGGAGATCGTGTGAGGAGGAGATGAAACAGTATGGAATAACATGGATGCAGGTGAAAAGTACAGCAGAAGACAGAAGCAAGTGGAGGCGTGCAGTTGAAGCCCTATGTTCCACTAGGAACCCAAGGGAACAATAATAATAATACCCGACCTGCGGTAATCCATTGGTCATGACTTCTCACTAGAACCCAGGTAACTACCTACTTGAATAGGGCCAATCCCTAGTGGGCATCAGATTGATATTCAAGTGTTGGTTTGCATGGATTTGATTGGCTACAGGATTTCATCATCAGCTGACATGGGTTATAGAATCACTGGAAAACAAGGATGGAGTACTGGACAACTATTTCATCCTAGTTTGTCAAGAGTTGGAATTCACGGGCCATTGGATCGGGTCCCAGTACTGGCTTAATGATCTACGAGCTCGCCTTGTGCCTGGAAGTTCCTGGGTCCGAACCCCTGTAGTGCGTGAGCACTGTGAAGAGTCCCAATAAAGATTAGTACATTAATTCGTACTAGTTGCTGTGGTGAATTTTTTTTTCACGAGCCAGAATCATATTTAGTGCAACACTGAAAATGATGGGACAGCAGATACTTGTTTCGTTCTAGTCTGTAACTCTTCAGCAATATGCACTCATGATCCCAAGCAGGGCTCGAACCCCATGGCATTTAACTAATCAGTTGAACGTATCGGAATCATATGGGTCTTGAATACCAACTTCTGTCATTTTGGTAACAAAGTGTGATGAAACGGCTGAATGCCTTCAAACTAGGAGCAGACAGCTGTACAGTTTCATTTGACCCAGTTGTGTTCATTTCAAAACCCGATCCAATCCTAACCCCTACTCTCCCTACAATGTTCTCCCTTCATTTCTTAGTTCAGATCCATTTCGAAAAAATGCTTGCAAGAGTACAGATTACGATTCAAGTTTATTCACTGGATGATTAAACAAATTATAAAATTTAGACTAAATATTCTGATATATTCTATTGAATGACTAATTCAGTAGCCCATTGATTTAAAACGGCCGCCAAAATTGATACGTTTTAAGCTATGAGAAAAAATTAACGTGTGATATGAATAAATATTCACATAGATTATTAGTAAAGAGAAAGAACTTTTTGTAATTATTTTATTTTTTTAACAAAGTTAGAAAGTTAAAAATATTATCCATATAATATTATTATTTTTAAAAAATGTCAAAAGGCATCAAAAGTTAGTGACACTCGAGAAAAACAATCACATATCGAAGCTTATGTCAAAACATAGAAAATCATAAATCGTTAAAAATAATTAATCCGATAGTCGTCTTAATTGGTGAATAATGTCTATACATGATAATTTGAAGGTTGATTGGCCCGCAAACAGATACATTACTTGGAAACAGTAAAGCATCTTTTTCTAAATTATCACTAGTCACACAGGGGGGTCTGGATTAGATTCCTGGCTTTATTAGCCGATAGCAGACAGAGAAAAGGTGGAAGGTTGGACGTAAGCATCTAACAGCCGCATCCCGTAAAAACTAAACAACATCAACACCTCTACTGAAAATTTTAAAGCCTGTACCCCTATGTTCTCTATTGGGACTGCAAGGATTGGCAATAACTTAGGCATAAGGCCATTGTAGAAATAAGGATTGTTTAGAAAGCTGTTCTGTCCATAGAGTATAGTGGTAAGGACCTCGGAGATGTGTTTGGGATGCGATGTGATCTAGAACAACAGTGTACTCAAGAATTAGGCGATTGCTCGACTAACTGTGCAATTCCTTAGATAACCAGTAAATATGCGAAAAAGACTTTTTGTGAACTGTGTGTATGTTTACAGATTTTTGTTTCCACCCTTTCTACGAGAGTTGATTCACAACTCCTTAATTAAATGTGAATTGATTAACTCATTCTGTCGGCTTACCTCCAGTGTTTGAATCAGGATTGACAATAAATCAGTCCTGTAGTATTATCTCATAAGTTAATGCATTCTGAGCATATTCAGATTTAAATAAAACAATGATAAAGCGGATCCATTTTATTTCGTCAATATCTTGTCAACTAAATACAAACTGAATAATGAAAGTTAATTAACAGGGGTGAGTGAGTATATGTTATCGCCAAAACAAATTTACCACTGTTATGTATTTGCCTGTGCGTCGGTGGTTTAGCGGCTAGGACGCTCGCCGACCATGCACATGGTCCGGGGTTCGATCCCCGGCCGACGCACTCCTTTACCTCGCTGTGTCAGAAATAATGCTGGTGAAGAGGAAAGGTTGGGCATGAGGCTAACAACCCCATCCTGTAAAAGTAAACACTGCTACAGAAACTTCAAGCCACTAGCTTGAAACCCTATGTTCCACTAGGGAACGTGAAGGAAATAAATGTATTTGCCTGCTTGTTAATGAACAGAACGGAGGCGACCAATTACGATTTGAATTACCTCGGCTAGTTGATCTTATGTGATTTTGTATTTTTTATGCTTAGAGAAATACTGTAATCATATTAGGTGTTACATTTCGCTGTTCTAAAGGAGATTAATGAACTATGTTTCACACAGTTGGAATATTTGTTCTTGAGTTTGTTATACTATGCGCGAAAACATTATCCCCAGCCAGTTGGTAGTTTTACTACATTTTAAACAAACATATTTTCAGTATTAGTTTTGTAGGGATTTTTTTGATCGTTTGGAGAATTTCATCATGAGCTGATATCAGTTAAAGAACCATTGGAAAACCTGGGATTACTGGGCAGCTGTTTCGTCCTAGTTTGGGATTCCTCATCGGTACGCACCCACCGCCATGGTTCGAACCCAGGACCTCCTGGTTACAAGGCCAGCTAGCTCGTAGACGATTAAACCAGTGGGACCCTATCCACTGACCAGCCCGTGAATTCTAACTTCTGCCGATTCACGACATAGCGCGACCCCTAGCCAATGTCTTCGGCGAGTATTTGTCCTCACACCAGACCTGCTGTACCCTACTGGTCACAGCTTCCCACTAGAACCCTAGATAACCGATTGAATAGGGCCAGTCGTTAGTGAGCATCATATCAATTTTCAAGTATAGGTTTTGTAGGGATTTGGGTCTACGAGCTCGCCTTGTTACCAGATGTTCCTGGGTTCGAACCATGGCGGTGGATGCGTACTCATGAGGAATCCCAAACTAGGACGAAACAACTGTCCATCACTGGTTTTCAGTGATTTTCTAACTGAAGTTACTTCTTGACCAAATGTTTATATATATATAAACTTTTTGCTTACTGCTTTGTTTCTTAATTCCTAATGTACTTTAGATTTACAAACCTGTTGAACTATTCTACAATGGATAAACATGTCGATTTGATGGTTGCTTATGAGGCCAATAACTCGCATGGTGATAATAGCAGCAACTGTGATAATAATGATTATATTCAAGGTCCAACAATACGTTTTAGATTACGTGATCAACTGTGAGATTTCCACTTTCAATTTATTGATTAATAATATTCGTGTATCTTGCTCTGTGTACTAAGTGAAGTGTGGGGACTTGAACTGTCGCACATTGGTGCAAAATTCTATGTTTAAACCATTCAGTCAATACAATTTTGTACATTTACACTCGTCTTTTGTATTCGTTTGTTATACATTATTAGCGTACTCACTCCACTTTGATAAGAAAAGTAGTGGCCAGTGTACGTGTTTCTCCGACCTCCTCGTGCTTCTTTGTATGTGTGTGTGTGTGTGCGTGGTTGGACCAAAGTGTGTCTAATTTCGCTTTGCTAGAACAATATTCACTGATGATTGTGGTAAGCAGTGTTTTATCTCTGGTTATATTGAAATCTGGTGTTACGTGATCGATGCTTACATTCCACCCCAACCCCTGCGTTAGCTGGTGACAATTTTACCTGTTCCACGTATTACTTGGATTGAAAGGACTGTCACAAACCGGCTGTAGAGGCTTTTAAACACCGTTATGTTGCACGTACAAAAATATGAGTACCATCTAGCATATTCAGAGGTACATATGGTTGTTTCACTTATTATATTGTGAAGCGCTCATATGCTGTTAGTTAGTTGCTTGGGTTGAATCACTCTCCAGATGAATGCAATATGAAGTCTTCTTGAAGTGTGAGTTGAAGATATCGTTTAAAAAGCTTCGAAATTGAACCATTTAACGCGTTGAGCACAACCACACTAATATCATCCACCTTAGCTATAGATTTTTTTCATCATTTATAAATAGTGAAGAAATTCCGTAAGCTGACTCCGCTTGAGAACACTCAATATCCCGTCTAATTGTCGAAAGTATTCCAGGGAGTACTAGAGGTAGTTTACTGCTCCTTTTGGCGCTATCTTATACTGCTCTCAGTGATGCTGTTTCAGCTGATGATGGAATTTTTCCAGTATACCACTGGATGTGGGGTGATAAGCAGTAGTGTGCATGCACTGGATTCCAAGTTGTTCTATCAGCTGTTGAAATAAATGACTTCTGTATTAGGCACCCATATCATCCGTAGTGATAACTTTAGGTACGCTGAAATCGGAAATCCGATGGTTGACTACACTTTTTGTCACAATCTCAGCAGCCACATTGGTTTGTGAAATGGCTACTGGTCATTTTTGTGAACCGGCCAATGCACGTTAGGATATATGTGAAACTGTTAGACGGCGGTAGTAGCCTTACGGTATCGATATGTGTGTGCTGGAATATACCATCAAGATCATGAAACTTGCCAGTGGGTGAAGACGGCACTGCTAATCAACCTCTAGTCCATCATTTAAGCTCCCGATTCATATTCAGCCACGTAAACCGGTGACTCACCAATTTTACTGTCGGTTGAATACCGAGTTGAGAAGTGCTATATCTCATCTCTGATGGCACTAAGGAGCGCGGTTTTGCTGTGAATACGTTGCAAGTTACAGTTAGAGAGCCGTCCGGCTCGACCTCTTGAAAACTCAGAGAAGTGTTCATCTTGCGTTTTGAGCTCTTCGTTTGTCACCTGCGAGTTCCGCATTTTTCGAAAGTCAGTCTCATCTACATCCAAGATATTTACCTAGATTCGGGATAAACCATTTGCCACCTCATTCTTTCTACCTTCAACTTAACGTATATTTAAGAAATAAATTCCCTAGGAACATATTTGTTGGGATTAGCATACAAAGCTCATGTTGAGGGTTCGGTGATCGGTGTATATTGAAAAGCTAGTCCCCTCAGTCACATGCCTGTAATGCTTCACTGCTAATTATGCAATGAGTGGTAGATCCTTGCTAAAAGTAAGGTATCGACATTGTATTGGTTTTGAGTGGTTAGAAAAGAACACTAGTTTCTGCCATTCACAGTGTTCTAGTTGCTGTAGAGCTGCCCCAACGGCTACATCTTAACGCATCTTTCATGACAGTCGAAGCAGTGTTTACTCCCCCGATGTACTCACAGTTTCTCTCAGTTCATTGAATACTTTGATCGCTGGAACTGTTCATGTGCAGCGTCTTTTCACTGCCTTTCAGTAAATCTGTCAATGGTTTTGCTAAATGTGCTTAGTCGGGAATAAAACGGCGATAAAGTGTGATCAGTCTGAGAAATCTGCGTAGGTTTCGGAAAGAATTTGAAATCTTTTAATATCATTTGCACTCACTACGTATCCCATAAACTGAAGTGATTTTTTGCCGAATTCGTACGTTTTTCGGTTAACAGTAACCCTATAGTTGTTAGGAAACTGCGCGCAGATGCTGTAGGTGTTTAGCTTGTGTTGTATTTGCAAACAGTAGACCGCCTTAGTTAGTCCGGAAGTTATACAAACAAATTCAGAGAATGCGAAAGGAGTAGTGATAGCAGTTTTAAGAATACCCTTCGTTTCTAAATGAATATGACTAGGTCAGTCTTGGAGAAAATGTTTTCACTAAGCGAAATCCCAATAAGTTGTGTATGTGCCGAATAAGGTATTCATCTGCATCCGTCTGTTAATCCAATGCTTTATAGTCTCCACATGACCGAATTTCACTAGATGTCTTTTTAAGGACTATGTGTAATGGAGATGACCATGGAATTTGCAATAGTCGTATGATTCCAAGCTTCAGAAGCTTATCGAATTCCACTTTTGCTATCTACGATTTCTGCGGATCTACCTAACAAAGTTTAGGTACTCTAGGAGGGTGCTTTGTGACTATGTGTTTGACAGAGGATGATGAGTAATAGTTTCGCGTTAGGTCAAGAAATTCCTACACTGTAGTAAGTACAGTTTGGCGTAGGTACTACCAGGCTGATCCTTTCAGCAGCTATGAGGACGATCATGATTGCAACCTAGAAGTCTATGCCGACTGGAATCAACAAGTAACTTGTGGTGTTGAAGGAAGACTATTCCGATGATTGGGAAAGTTACGTCCGTGGTGATATGATAATACCCTATTCAAATGGTGTGCTTTAACTAAAATCAAGTTTTAATACCTTGGTTCCACGTTTTTAGATGGACGATCTCTTTGCTGCTTCAAGCATCAATACAGTGCAGGGGTGGAGGTGTTCAGGAGGTTTTGGGGGAACTGGACCTACTTCCTAAACTGTATTTATAAGAAACTGTGTTCCTGTGTTTGTTTTCAGACACACGAAATACACTACTTTTTACCTTGTGCTCGCCGGTAACAGCAGTCATCGTTGACCATTGGCTTGTTCGTTTTCCGAATAGATAGACTGTTGGAAAGTGCAAGGTAATGAATGACGGCGGGCTGTGTTCCCAAATGTAGAACAATGCTACCATAATGTTGATTAATCAGTTTATGCCTAAGTTGTTATTGCCTGAAGCAAGAACTTGCCGTCTGTTCTGAGGCAGGTCTGAGGCAGCCATGCATAGTTGAAAGAATAATCTAAAATCAGTATTTCTGTCTTCCAGTAGGTTTTCAATCTTATCTTTTCAGTTGTGATGGGGTGATCAAGAGATTTTGACCAGATAAAGAAGTCACTTTGAATACTTCTTGTTTTAGCACATTTTACGGAGAGTCACACACAGTCAGGCTTTGTAGGTGTCACTCATCTGTTCTGTAACTTCATCCAGTAGGATAGATGTAGCATATCTGAATTCCACATTTTGAGAAGTTCTATGATGAACATGGAAATAATTTTCCAATCAAGTAAATCACTGGTGAAAGTCAGTTGGTTTGAAAAGAAGTATGCACAGATTAATGGAACTCATAGACTCAGAATCTAAGAATACTTGACATTAAGAACTGCTAAGAATAAAAATTATAGAAGTAAAGTACAGGAAACATACAAAAAGCTGCGTATCTATCTACCGAACACCAGCAATTGGTATTGTTTAGTCAAATATACCCGAAGAGTATAGCCACAAGCCAGGGTAGATGAAGTGCAATAACAATATAATCCACAAAGTATATACAATTATTTGCTCGAGATAGTGTAGTTTCCACACGAACTTACCACTTAAGCGTTTATCTGTCTCACCCCAATATACATACTCATCATTCCCCGAAATACAACTTCACAGTTCTTAACATCCTGTACACTGCTGAGCTACTTTTTGTCAGACAGTGTAAAAACGAGAAGACCAGCAGAGGTTAGAACAAAGATATTCCAAGCAAATGGAAAGGCAGTTCAACCATATATTAATAATAATAATAATAATAACATTTTCAAGAAATATGTAATCCTTAAGTTCGTTGTTAAATTCATCAGTACGCAAAAAAGTATGATAGCCACTAAACATTCGGCATTGCGCTGATCACAATGTCCTAATGATATTAACAGTAGAATTTCTTTTCTGTCTACATGTTCGTTCCGTTCATGACTGAAAATACATTTTCTTAATGCAATAAACATTGTCCTGTTTTCAGAAGAGAAAAAAGAAACACCAACTGATAAAATATGCTTTGATGTTTTCAACTTGTAGGTGTCATTTTATTTTATTTTACTTTATTTAGGCTAAATGTTAATTATTTTGTCATATTTGAAAGTAATTAGTACTATTCAACTGACTTGAATTCTGTTACATTACAGTCGAAATTCTGTTAAGTTGATCATGATGAGGCTGTTGGTAGACTATTGCTGATATAATTTAAAAAGACAGAATTCGAACTAACGGTTTCAGAACTACCAGTTTGGAGTTCTACAGGATGAGGTACAAGACCGAAATACTAACCAGGTCATCATTCCAGTGCAATCACCACGGGGAGCGTGTGTCAGTCTGTCATGTGAATCAGTAGTATGGTGTTATTATTATTTACTCTTTCCATTCCGACTGGAACATATAGCTTCAGCGGTGCATCTTTACTGCACTCAGTTCTCCACCATTACCTCTAGACTGTTGCATGACTGATTATACAAGCCCTCATTTCCTCTTCAGATGATTGTTTCCATGTAACCATTGGAGGCCCAACCCGTCGCTTCCCATTCGGGTTCCACTCACAACCCTAGTGCATCATGTGAGTTGAGTGTGTCTTTAATGTTCCTTGTTGCTATCTGCTCTTTA